CACCTGATTTGCACAGATGTAAGGGACAACTGAAGGTGCATGGCACCAAGAATCGGGCCCCACATCTATAAGGGCTGGATTGTCACAGCAATGAGCCCATAGACCCCTGGCAACAGTCAGAGGCTCGTAAAATCGACCCTTTGAAGCCTGAAGGACTATTTAGGTACAGCAAGCTGCTCCAAAGACGATGTCCCCTCTGCAAGGTGCTGGAGAGGCACTGCAGTGGGCTACTGTGCCAGTACCTGGCCTCTTAAAAACAATTTGGGGCAAGCTGCAGGTGCACAAATCCCACCCCCCACACCCCAATGGTTTGTTTGGAGGCTGCGCTCTCCATGTGTCCCTTTGAAGAGTACAGCCAGGAGATGGTTGCCAAGCAGCCATGCTTTCCCGTTTAGCTTTTAATTGCTGGGTGGTGCAGGAAGGTGATGATTCCAGTTTAGGGAGCTGAAGGTAGGGAGTGAGAGCGCCCTGGGTGTGGTTTGGGTGGGTATGCTGCTGCTGCGCCCAACGCCGGAGGTGCCAGCTCAGCTGTGTAAGCAAATCTTCTGCCCACTCATTCCTCCAGCGGAGGAAACAGGATGGGAGGCAGGTAGCCAAGAATAGGGCAACATGCAGAGAGAGAGAGAGAGAGCCAGCTCAGAGGTACAGCTGGGAGAGCGATTTATTTTTTGATGCAGACATTTTAGAGTTCCGGGCGCAACACTAAATTAGCTAAGCCACTGCCAGACGAACTAGAACAGACCCTGAGCTGCGAACACAAACCTGCCCTGAAATCACCCTCTCGAGGCAAAGGACTCAGCAAAGCAAATGGCTTTTACGCAGCCTCCTGAAGGCCAATGGATCCACAGGCTCTGTTGGACCAATAGGGGAAGGACGTGCCAGAGGCGAGGGCTCTCTCCTGAGAGCATCCAGCCTACAGACATTTAAGTCTAGGGACTGTACGCGCGCATCTGTTGCTCTCTAGTGCTGTGCTGGTGCCTACGGAGAGCTGTGACCCAAAGCAGGGAAAGCTGTACGATTTAAAGGGACACATGGAGAGCAGAATGCTGGAATAATAAAGGCAACAGGCTGGCCCCCCCAAATAAGCCATATTAAGGGGTGTGTTTTTGTGAATGAGCCGCTTGCCCCAAAATATTCCTCCTTATGTGTTATGCAGGTTCAAATCCTGCAGTGCCTACTCAGCTGAGCCAGTTGTGAGCAGTAGGGAGTGCAGGACAGGAAGCTATGTCACTGGAAGTATTAGTATTGATGGGGTGGAGGTCACCTACCTGTTAAACCAGCACCTCTTCCCCATGGACATTCCTCTCATGAGCGATGTCCTTTTGGGATGGGATACAGGAGCTACAAACAGAGGGGCTGGTTTCACAGCAGCTTAGCAAACTAGTCCCACTTTATGGCAGCTGCTGTCTTGTGCTGCAGAATCTAAGCTTTCCTTTCAAACCCAAATTAAGAACCGGATTGTCAGAGCTGCTGAGCATCCACCCCTGCTGTTGACTTCGTTTGGAACTGAAAATTCTCAGCAGCTTTGAAAGCCAGGTCTTAAGGCCCAGATCCTCTAAGGCATTTAGGTACTTTAATCAGTAGGACTTAGGTGCCTAAGGGCTCGTCTTCACGTACAGCACTATAGCGGTGCAGAGACACTGGTGCAGTTGTGCCACTGTAGTGCTTAAGTGAAGTCACTCCTATGCCTACAGGACAGCTTCTCCCATCGGTATAGTTAATCCACCTCCCCGAGAGGCGGTAGGTATGTCGATGGGAGAAGCTCTCTCATCCACATAGTGCTGTCTACAGAGGGGGTTAGGTCTGTATAACTATATCGCTCAGGGGGTGTGGATTTTTCACACTCCTGAGCGCCACAGTTATACTGACATAGGTTTGGAGTGTAGACCTGGCCTAAGTATCTTTGAGGATCTGGGCCTAAATCTCTTGTGTTTAGTTTTTCCTCTGTTGCAATTTAACTAGCATCACAAGAGGCAGCATGCCCTAGATGCTACTGCTGTGAAAAGAGCCTTCAAAATAAGAATCAAAAATGTAAAACACAGTGATGTCTGCCTGAGTGTGCAGACAGCCTGAAACAACAGCTCAGGAACGTGCAAACTGCCCTTGTTCGAGGTCTCTTCCAACCCTAATATTCTATGATAAGGGATTGCTAACTCTGAGTTCTAGTGATGACAGATTAAAATGTCAAATTGTTAACTACTTCATTGCCACTCAAAGCATGGAAGAAAGTCCAGAGACAGTTATATGAGGAAGATCTACCTACAGGAATATTGCTAAAGGGGTAGAGCTTGTTTTGTGAACACACCTTGGAATAATACCACTGATTTCTTCCTTCTCCCACCTTACCCACCCCCCCAATTAAATCCCTGTTTACAAGCATTACTAAAGCACTTAGGTGTGATCTAGTGGCAAGAGCACAAGACGAGGAGCCAGGAATCCCCAGTGGCTGATCCCAATGCTCACACTGACTCACTCTCTGACCTTTGACAAATCATTCACCTCTCTGTGTCTGTGATGCTCAGAGTTATTGAGTTTATCTCACACCTGGGAATATCGTGAGGGCTAGTTAAGTGCGTTGAAGATGAAACACACTAAGTCCCATGTGTTAAGGAAGGTTGTGTTTTTGTTTTCATGACCTGTTTTCACTCAAGGATTGGAGAAGCTGTTCTCAAACATGGCAAGGAGCCAAAAAGAAAATCTGGACCGGTCATTTTTAAATCAAAGAGTCCATACCAGTGGACAGTGTTTCTGTAGTAACAGCTGCAATAATGCAATGCTGCACTGGCATCTGACATTAAAACAGTCCCAAGATCATTCAAAACAAGCTGTGGTGGCTGGGCTGCACATACAAAGTGCTGCTACTCCTGATATATCAATGGTCCTGCGTTTACCTTCATGCTCTCAATAAGTCAGTGCAAACAGCTGTCATGACAGAGTGGTTGAAGAAGAGACTCCAGACAGTTTCTGTCGGCATTACTTTTATTGCACTAGTGTAGAGACAGCACTAGCATTTTTACCACAGGCTAACACATCTCAGAGTTAATGCAGATGGCCTAGTGTTAAGAATGCCAGTCAATACCAGAGTCCTGTTTACACTAGAACTTCCACAATTCCTATCACCAGGGAAGCAACACCCAGTGGAAGATTCCAGCCCCAATTCTAGTGTAGGAAAGTCCACTGGAGTCCTGACTCTCCTTTGTCACTGGTTTTACCACTAGTGACTTCCAGCAGAGCTGTTCCTGATTTGCACTGGTATGAGAGGCAAATCGGGCGGCCAGGCTATCTTAGGAAGAGATAAAACACACATACAAGAGAAATAGTAACATTTTTATAAAAATGCAGCCCTCACTTGTCAACATTTACGTTAGACTCATCTTGGCTGTGTTAGCATTAAAACCCAAGGCAGATGTGTCATTTTAAGCCAGAGATGAAGCTTGTGTAACATGCATTCCACATTGGTTATTCACTAACAACATCTGTAAGCTAAGGATCCCTTGTATGTTTGGTGCAGAAGAAGAGGGGCAGATGATTAGGTTTTCTATGCTGGGGCCTTGATCATGCAAAGACTTACACGAGTGCTTCACTTTATGCACTGTGAGTCCGTCCAGGTGATATCAGTGGGTGGGAATACTCACATGCCTGCTTAACTTGACACACTGTTTGCAGAATTGGGTCCCATGGCTCAAAGGAGAAAGGACCCCCAGGCCAGGCTACACTGGAAACTTTTGTTGTTAGGGATGTGATTAAAAAAACAAAAACAAAGAAGTTTCAGCAGTGGCAAAAGCCCTAGTGTGAACAAGTCATATTGGCATAAAAGTGCTTTTGCTAGTATAGATTATTTTGCTCAGGAAACTAATAAACTGTACTGGCAAAAGTACCTTTTTGCCAGCACAAACTGTATCTGCATAGGGGGTTTGCAGGGCCGGCTCCAGGCACCAGCCTACCAGGCTTGTGCTTGGGGCAGCACCTGGAAGGGGGGTGGCGCTCAGGCCCGAGATCGGGGCCATGACTGGGCTCGCCGCCCTCCCCGACTGGCGCTCCAGCCGTCGAGGAGAGCAGAGCCGCGGCGGGCTCGCCGCCCTCCCCCCGGCGCTCCTGCCGCTTGGGGAGAGCGGGTCCGCGGCCGGGCTCGCCGCCCTCCCCGTGGCGCTCCGGCCGGCCGGGGAGAGCGGGGCCCGCGGCGGGCTCGCCGCCCTCCCCTGCCGCACTCCCCGCCGGGGGACGGGGGCGGGAGGCTTTTTTGCCTGGGGCAGCAAAAAAGCCAGAGCCGGCCCTGGGGGTTTGCCATTAGAGCTATACCACCAGAACTACACCAGCAAATATTTTGCAGTGTGTAGGCCATCCATGGAGTAGCTGAGGATTAAGAAATGTTGTGCAGAAACTGGCGCTCTTTTTTAAAAGAAGAAAATCTCAACTAAGCTAGAGTTTCTCCCCCATCTTATTCTTATTCTCTGTCCCCACCGCGGACGTGATTCACTCCTTCCTTTAAAGGAGAATGACACAAGGCAGGCATGTCAACACACGCGGAAGGAAAATCTATGCAAACACAGGCTGGTGTTGAAAACTTCGGTTACAACGTACGGATGCGCCAGTGATTAATTGCAGTGTAAGTGATCATTTGATGGCCTGGTTATCCCACGTGAAAGAACAGCTCGAGATCGCGCTAGTAAACAGAACAACATTGATTTTGACGACAGGGCTTGTGCAGTACCTAATCAGCGTTTTAAATGGCCTTAAACCCGTGGTACTTCTGCTCCCGCAAGGGGCACGAACAGTTTCAAGCAAGCCAGCTCGGCCAACTTCCTCACTCTCTGTCCACAGCACATGCTCCAAACCCCCCTACTCTGCAGGGGCTACGCGCGCACACACTTAGCCCACTAGAGCCCGATTGCACCCCCTGAAGCTCGGATGCTGGGAAGGGGGTTGTTTGCTGGCCCGGACCAGGCGAGCTCGAGGGCGGAATAAGCGTTAAAAGGAAATCAACTCACTTCACAGCCCCAAAGATGGAGGATCAGAGGGACCCCTCCTCCCTCCAGATTGCCTCCACTGTGAAGCAGAAAACCAGCCCCGCGGCTGCGGCAAGCGACCCCCCCCTTTTGGGAGCTGCAGCCCCCAGCCAGCCAGGAAAGCAGGTTTTTGTGCCCGTGGCCCCCACTGAGGTTAGAGAAGCGGAGAGAGGGAAGCGGACTCCTGACTTACTGCGCCTTGTCGCCAGCCACTTCTTTGCCGTTGCAAACGGCAGCCCCCTCTCAGTCGCCTTTGTAAGCGTCCACACACGGGCTCACGGAGCCACCGGCCGATGCGACGGGCCAAGGCTTCCCGGGATCTCTTCCTTTCTTCCTAGCCCCATGCTCACTTTTCTCGCCGCTAGCGGGGCCGGGTTTGGTCGCTTTCTGTCTTACTCATTTCCTGGATGTCAGCGTTACTCTGCGAAACTTTCCCCTCCCTATAAGAACAAAACACCGGGCTCCGCTTTCTGCCTCCTGGGACCTTCTTAAGGAGGCCGGTCAGAAAAAGGGGGGTGGGGGAGTCGCCTCATAAGGCAGCTCCTAGGTGTCCTCCAGACGGGTCCATGCCTTTGTGAGCCGTGTAAACGCGAGCCGCTTTGCTGCAGCACAAAATCCGGAGTTTCCCGGGAGGAGGGGTTAGGGAAGTTCCCCCTTAAACCCTGCCTGTTGCGCAATACACGATTACAGGGATAAGCAGCGACTTTCCCGGGTTTGTTGCTTGCCGCTTGTTGTGGTGAAGTGAGATTTCCATCCAAAGGGGCTTCCCAATTCTAGCCACTTCCGTCATCCAGAAGTGGCCCGATGCAACCCCCGGCCCGTCTCTGCACACGCGGGGAACGTGCAATGTTATTGGTAACCTTCCCCCACTGGGTCCTGCACAGGGCTTTGCAATGAGGGGCTTTTTCCTCCCACAAAGGCAAGGAGGCGCATTTGTTTTACTTTTCACATGTGTACTCTTGTAGCTGGGGCAGTGGGGTTTGAACAGCTGAGGACTAAAAACAAAGTTAAAACCTGACGATAAAACAATCTAATTAACGCTTAGCCCCCCCCCCCCACGGGGAAAGGCTGCACAAACATCAGCTCATTAATTCTCCACAAGCCCCTATCAGGGAGAGAAGTAGTATTATCCTCGCTGTACAGGAGTTTAAGTGACTTGTTCACAGTTACCTAGAGGAAATCAGTGGCAGAGCTGGGATTAGAATTAAAATATTGTTGGCTCCCAACCCTGTGCTCCTTCCACAGTTAAAATGCTGCTTCCCAATTAAAGATCTAATTGACAATTAACAATCACAAGCTACACAGCTATCACCTCCCAAATGAAACACAAGAAAAAAATGTAATTTTCTGGAGCTGCATAACATCTGAACTCAGTGGGACAAGCAGGGTTGCCTTGTTTCTGATTCTGATGGGCCAGCAGGACATTTAAAGCCGGGCTGAAATCCCTTTGGGGTCAGTGCAATGTCATCTTGTCACAAGGTGGTGATAATTGCATTGTAATACGATATCCCACTGGCAAAGCATCCTGTTACTCTTTCCGGGGGGCTTGTCTACACATAGAACTGCCTACTACTGCTCCTAGAATTGCCTTTTCAGCTCATGTGGTCACGGCCTATTCAGTAGTGTGGATGGTCCCAGGTTTGAAACTTGTTTATCACCCATATGTGGTATTGCACCAGAGACCAGACCTATGCAATGTCAAAAAAGACAGTACAAATGTGATAGGACACCTTTGTCTTGAAGCCTTCTATTTGATAAGTGTTGACTTGGGATGAAGTGTCAATCTGTTATTTAAATTGCCCGACTTTTGTTAGATTAGGTAACCACATTAACCTTACTGACAGGCTTTGTGTATGTGGATGTCTGACTCTGTTGGGGCTTATTGGCAACTTGTGTGTTGTTCCTACATTCCTTTCTTATTATATGGTAATCTGTGACCATTATTTATTTGTAACAACAGACATTGTAATGTTACCACTGCTACTTTGCAACATTCAGCCTGCTTTAGTGCATCCTTTATTTCTCTGAGTCCTGTCAAATTGTCTTTTGTCACCTTTTGTTAAGGAGCAAGTTACTCTCTCCCCATTTCTTTTTCTTCCTAGTTTTCAGCTGATTTCTCCAAATCTCCATACACCCAGTTGATGGCTATTTTACTTGGCTCTGAGCTGACCCTTTTTTATATTTGTTCTTATACTGCCACAGAGGGGTACAAGTCACCCTAGAGACAATTGAAAAATGACAGTTCTTCTCTGACGAGAACATAAGAACAGCCATACAGATCAAATGTCCAATTAGCCCAGTATCCTTCCGACAGTGGCCAATGCCAGGTGCTTCAGAGGGAATGAACAGAACAGGTAATCATCAAGTGATCCATTCCCTGTCACCCATTTCCTGCTTCTGGGAAACAGAGGCTAGGGACACCATCCCTGCCCATCCTGGCTAATAGCCATTGATGGACCTATCCTCCATGAATTTATCTAGTTCTTTTTTGAACCCTGTTATAGTCTTGGCCTTCACAACATCTGCTGGCAAAGAGTTCCACAGGTTGACTTGCATTGTGTGAAGAAATACTTCCTTTTGTTTGTTGTAAACCTGCTGCCTATTAATTTCATTTGGTGACCCCTAGTTCTTGTGTTAGGAGAAGAAGTAAATAACACTTCCTTATTTACTTTCTCCACACCCAGTCATGATTTTATAGATCTCTATCATATCCCTCCTTAGTTGTGTCTTTTCCCAGTCTTATTAATCTCTCTTCATATGGAACCTGTTCCATCCCCCTAATCATTTATGTTGCCCTTTTCTGTACCTTTTCCAATTCCAATATATCTTTTTTGAGATGGGGTGACCACATCTGCACACAGTATTCAAGATGTGGGCGTACCATGGATTTATATAAAGGCAACATGATATTTTCTGACTTATCTATCCCTTCCCTAATGATTCCCAACATTCTATAAGCTTTTTTGACTGCCGCTGCACATTGAGTGGATGTTTTCAGCAGTGCTTCTATATCGTGATGCCAACTTTTCCTAACCTAGCACTAAAAATTTCCCAAATCTGGTGAAAAATTCCCAGATAAAGTTTCTTACAGTGCTTCTATATCCTGGGAAATTTCCTAAAACCTGGGAATTTGTGAGTAAAATGCTTCAACTTGGGAAATTGGGAATTTTCATTCAAACATTTTACTCAAAAATTCCCAGATTTTGGGAAATTTCCCAGGATATAGAAGCACTGGTTTTCAGAGAACTATCAACAATGACTCCAAGATCTCTTTCTTGAATGGCAACAGCCATCATTTTTATGTATAGTTGGGATTATCTTTTCCATTGTGCATTACTTTGCATTTATCAACTTTGAATTTCATCTGCCATTTTGCTGTCTAGTCACCAGTTTTGGGAGATCCCTTTGTAACTCTTCGCAGTGTGCTTTGGACTTAACTATCTTGAGTAGCTTTAGATCATCTGCAAATTTTACCACCTCACTGTTTACCCCTTTTTCCAAATCATTTATGAATACACCGCTACCTCGATATAACGCCACCCGATATAACAGGAATTTGGATATAACGCGATAAAGCAGTGCTCCGGCGGGGCGGGGCTGTGCACTCCAGTGGATCAAAGCAAGTTCAATATAACGTGGTAAGATTTTTTGGCTCCTGAAGACAGCGTTATATCGAGGTAGAGGTGTATATTAAACAGTATTGGTCCCAGTATAGACTCCTGGGGGACACCACTATTTACCTCTCTTCATTCTGAAAACTGACCATTTATTCCTACCCTCTGTTTCCTATCTTTTAACCAGTTTCTGATCCACAAGAGGACCTTCCCTCTTATCCCATGACAGCTTACTTTGGTTAAAAGCCCTTGGTGAGGGACCTTGTCAAAGGCTTTCTGAAAATCTAAGTACACTATATCCACCTGATCACCCTTGTCCACATGCTTGTTGACCGCCTCAAAGATTTCTAGTAGATTGGTGAGGCATGATTTCCCTTTACAAAAAACATGTTGACTCTTCTCCAACAAATCGTGTTCATCTATGTGTCTGATAATTCTGTTCTTTACTATAGTTTCAGTCAATTTGCCTGGTACTGTGGGATCACTTCTGGAGCCTTTTTTAAAAATTGGTGTCACATTAGCTATCCTCCAGTCATGTGGTACAGAAGCTGATTTAAATGATAGGTTACATACCACAGTTAGTAGTTTTGCAATTTCACATTTTAATTTCTTCAGAACTCTTGGGTGAATACCATCTGGTCCTGGTGACTTATTACTGTTTAATTTATTAATCTGTTCCAAAACCTCCTCTAATGACACCTCAACCTGGGACAGTCGCTCAGATTTGTCACCTAAGAAGAATGGCTCAGGATGGAGAATCTCCCTCACATCCTCAGCCATGAAGACCGATGCAGAGCATTCATTTAGTTTCTCCGCAATGGCCTTATCCCCCTTGAGTGCTCCTTTAGAATCTCGATTGTCTAGTGGCCCACTGGTTGTTTAGCAGGCTTCCTGCTTATGATGTACTTAAAAATTTTTTTGCTGTTACTTTTTGAGTCTTTAGCTAGCTGTTCTTCAAATTCTTTTTTGGCCTTCTTAATTATATA